CTGCACAGCTGTGCTGGGCTCCCAGGGAAACTGAGGTACAGGCTTTGTGGGCAGAGAACTCCCCTTGACCCCTTCCCCCTCCTCTGGACTCTGGGCCCTGGGGTGCAGGAGCTGGCCCATGGGCGCTGAGCCCCCTCACTGCCCTCCAGGTAATTGATGTGAAGGAGAAGCTGCAGCTGATGCGGGGATTCTGGCTTGGCCTGCCTCACACGCTCTGCAGTGATGGCAAGGTGGCTGCTGATGTAACCGAGGAGGACAAGTGCTGGAATGGGCAGGCCCGAGGCAGGTGAGGAGGGTGGGGTGGGGTTGGGGGGGATAGAGGATGGGACAGGAGATGAGGGCAGACTCAGTTTGACAAAACTGTTGGGGGGACACTGGGAGCTCCCCCCACAGCCAGCGCTCCTGTCTTACAACGCGCTGCAGTGGGAGAAGCCAAGGTTTGGGATGCCAGGAGCCTAATCAGGGATAATGGGATAATTGTTTAGAGATGGGGCTACTTACAGCCCAAGATGGGGGTCCTCCACTCTTTGGCACCAAACCAGTCACACAGAGCACTTCTGTTTGCCACACTGGCTAACCAGAAACCACACAAGCAATTCCTTTAGGCACTCCAGCTTCTCTTGTGAAAACCACCAGCAACACACTTTGTATAGATGAGAGGTTATAAAAACCCATCTCATAAAAAGGTTCTTCTGATTCCAAAGAACCAGCCACAGTCACAGGTCAGTTTATACCTTCACTTTTGCCCAAGAGAGCATGCTATGTCAATCCTTTAGAATCTAACAGATAAAGGTTTATTCATAAAAAAGAACAAAAAAGGGTGAAGTTAAAATTGTTAGGAATCTATTAACACACACCTATTGCCAAGTTCCTGGTGCAGAATTGTAGCGAAGATGGGATAAACTCCTGTCTTAGATCAAGTCTCTGGGATACATCCTTTGTTAGGATGGGTTATCTGTTCTTTCAAGCTTCAGTTCATAGCAGAGATCCTTCATAGGTGATGAGCAGGATTGAAGACAAATAGAGGACCCTCCCCCCCCTCCACAGGGTCCTCATTATATCCTTGTCCACATGGAAGAAGTTCCATTGTTCTCGCTGTGTGTATGTCCCAAGATGGAGCTTGTCACACGAGGCAGTCACTGTCCATGTCTGGCTCTGGCCTTTACAGGCGGATGCCAGGGCCCACATTTCAGACAGAAGATTTGCAGGAAGGTCCATTCAGTGCTGTTGGTGCCTCTCATTGAATTGTCCCTTGCTAGGCCAATCACCCCGAACAGCCTTTCCCAGGCACAATGACTAGCTGTTGGGTGGGGGCTACCCAGGGGCTGACATTTGAAATACAGACAAGTCAGTGGTCAGATCTTCAAGTACAACCATGATACGTGCCCACAAACAGAATCAGCAAATCCTCAGCTTTTCACAGACACCCTCCTTGACCTACTTTGTCCAAGACTTGGTGCAAACAGAACAGTGGTTGCAACAATGATTTGTATGTTCATATGGCCATCCAGTGACATAGCCCACCTCCCACCCTGGCCCCAGTGGTCTTTGGCAGAGAGGCCGGGGCCTCTGGGAGCCCCCCAGTGCTGTTTCTCACCCACTCTCCCTAGGTACCTCCCGGACGTGACAGGCGATGGGCTGGCCAACCAGATCAATAACCCCGAGGTGGAAGTGGACATCACGCGTCCCAACTTGCTCACTCGCCATCACCTCCTGCAGCTTCGTGCGGCCACCAGCCGCCTGCAGGGGGCCTACACTGGCCAGGACCTTGACTTCCAGGACACTTGTGAGTCTGGGGGGTTTGCCAGAGGGGATCTGCCTGTCCCTTGCCCACATGGCTGATTCAGGGCTGCAAGCACCTTGTCAGCTGTGCTCCTGTGGCACAGGGCTGGGGGGTGAGTCCACCCTGGGCCCTTGCAGCCTCCTGTGTCTCTAACCCTCCTTTCTCCAGTTGCAGATGAAGACGGCAGTGGCTCTGGGGGAGGCGAGCGGTACAGTGAGGATGGGCCGGCCACAGGGGGCGGCAGCAGCAGCAGCACTGTGGGGTCCCGCCCCCCTGACTCCCGGTCCCCCCGCAGGGACCGCCCCATCAAGGGCTCCCGGCAGAACCATCACCCCAGTGGCAGCAGCAGCTGTGCTGCCTTCTGGAGGGGCTCTGCCCTCCTCCTTCTGCTCCCTGCCCTGGAGTGGCTCCTGCTGGGACAATAACTCCCCAGGTGTAGGGGGGCTCTTGGGCTCTCCTCAGCCTGCCTCTACCAGGGGCTGTTTTGAGGGAAGGGAGAATGAGGCAGGAAGCGGTCAGGGAAGGGAGTGTTGGGGAGCTAGGCAGAGAGGTTTGTCCAGGCCCCCTGGTTAGTGAGGCCCTGGGCCAAGCAAGCGAATGTACTCTGAGGGCAGGGTTGTTCTCCACACAGAACTTTTATTTTTTTACATTTTTTTTACAGGGTATATTTATTTAGGGGGTGATTTTCTAATAAGGCTGCAGCCAGGTTCAGTTTTATAAGGAGGGGTGGGAGGGATGGATTTTTTTTCCTAGCCTCTTTCTACGACAGCATTTCCCCAAGTTCACCCTACCCATGAGGCAAGGTACAGCCCCCCTGCTTGGGAAGGCAAGCCTGGAGGAGTGGGACTGTCCTAGGTGGCAGAAGCTGGGGGCATGAGGGATTGGTAGCACAACATACAGTAGAGGTTGCGCTGGATCCGTTTTGTGATGCGCTGGAGTGACTCTGGGGTGCTTGTGTCTTCCTACTACACAATAAACATGTTAATTTATTGACTCTGATTCTTGTAGCAGCTCCTTCTGGGGGTGGTGTGGAGGCTGTTTGCACAGGTACCTGGTTCCAGGGCCTGAGCCTATTCCCATAGGGACATTGCCCCTGCAGGGGAGGATGTGGGAATTCAGTTCCATGTCACAGAGCTGGTCACGTGGGCAAGCAGCCCATGCAAGATGGCATGGGAGCTGTTCTTACTGGGGTAGAGGCTGGGCAGGGAAGGGAGCAGGCGAGCTCCGAGATGTAGCTACCTCGGCAAGGGGCGTGGCTTCTCGCACTTACACCCTCCGCGGGCGGGGTTACGGAAAGCGATGGAACCAGGAGAGGGGCGTGGCTTTTCTCAGAATCCTTGGATGGGCGGGGTCTGCGCGGCAAATGGGCGGAGCCGGGAGGGGTGAGTCTCGACTGACTTTGGCGCGCAAGAGGCGGGAAGCGGAGCCGCGCCTGCGCGGTCTGGGCAGCGCGTGCTTTCCGCGTGGCTGACGAGGTGGCGTTTCTCGTGTGGGCTCGAGATAGAGGCGAGAGTCAGTCGCGGGGGGCGGTGAGCGGCGCGAGGTGAATGCCCCCCCACGTGACTGCCCGGCGGTCGGTGGGGACTCGAGACCTCGCCCCCGCTCGGCGTATGATGAGCTAACCGCCGTTCAAACATCTGTGAAGGCTGCCCCTCCCCCATCCCTCTGGGGCAGTGCCCGGGGGGGCTGGGCATCTGGGGGTGCCTTGGGGGGTGCCCATGGAGTTACATGTTTGGTTGTGTCCCTGGGGGGGCGGTGCCCTGGGAGGGGTTACACATCTGGGTGTATCCTGGGGGGGCAGTGCCTGGGGGGGTTACGCATATGGGTGCATCCCAGCGGGGTGGTACCTGTGGGGTTTACATCTGGGTGTGTCCTGGGGGGGGGCTGATGTGGGGGTTACACATCTGGGTGGGTCCCGGTGGGACGGTGCCCAAGGGAGGGGTTACACATCTGGGTGTGTCCTGGGAGGGTGGTGCCCATGGGAGGGTGGGGTTACACATCTGTGTGAGTCCGTGGGGGGTGGTGCCTGTGGGGGCATTATGCATTGGTCGGGCAGTGCCCGTGGGGGTTACGCCTCCAGTTGTGTCCCCAGGGGGGCGGTGCCCAAGGGGAGATTACTCTTCTGAGTGTGACCCTTCTATGGGCCGTGCCTGTGGGGGTGTTGAACATCTAGGTGTGTCTCTGTGCAGGGTGGTTCCTCTTGTGGGGATTATATGTCTGGGTGTGTCCTGTAGTTGACAGTGTCCATGGGGGTGTGCCCCTGTGGTTGGCGTGTTCTCCGTCCCATGTGCTGTGTTGTTCCTACAGGCTGCCCCCAGATCCAGCCCTGCTCTCGCCATGTCACTGCAAAAATCTTCCCTCATTCATAGCTCCTCATCCAGCTCTGTGTCCTCCTTGGTACAGCCGCAGGACTCTGGGACCAGTTCCAGCCCCTCTGTGATGCAGGGGAATGCAGAGATGGGATCTCTGCCAGCTTCTTTGGCTCCAGATGTCCTGTGAGTGGGGCTCCCAGCCCTATACAGACTGTTTGGGAGCCGGCTGGGAGCTGCTGGTGCAGAGGCAGCAGTGGGGAAGGTTGAAGGTCAGCAGGGCCCTGGGGCTTAGCATTTGGTATCTTCACTGAGAACACACTTGTAAAGTTTGTGAACAATACCAAGCAAGGTTGCGTGTGCTTTGGAAGAGAGGATTAGAATTGAAAATGAACAAACTGGGGAAATGGCCTGAAAGAAACAGGGTGAAATTCAGTGACAGCTGCACATTTCTAGCTGAGGGAGGGCCAAGAAAGTGCACAAATATAAAATGGAAGAGTGTGTAGAAAG